CGCACGCACACGCACCCGGCGTGAGTTTAAGCCACCGGGTCTGAAACTTGAACTGCGGTCGACTACATGGGAGTCCAGCGACATAGCTATTACGCTAACTGCTGGTCCCAGCATTTGCAATTTTGACTCTAACTTACTAGCTGCTAGACCCCTGAGCAGATTACTCGCCCCTCTTGCGCGGTGTGTGGCGCTGACACTAGCTGACCTCTCCCCTCCTCTTTAAATTTGACTTGAGCAATCTTCTCTCTCAGGCTTCTGAAGCTCCACTGGCCTTGTTTAGTCCTTCAGCTTCCCAGGTTCACCCCTGTTCTTGGGCCTTTGCACTCGCTGAGTGTTCTGCCTGGATGGCTCTTCACCCAAAGCTGTGCTTGGTTGGCTTTTACTTGCCATTCAGACCCTCGGATAAACATCACCTCCTCGGGAGGCCTTCCCTGACTACCCCATCTGGAGCAGCCCTTCCCCAAACCATAGTCACTACCTGCTGTCATGTTCTCGTGGCATGTACCGTCTATGCTATCTCTCCTTCCCTCCTACTCCCAGGAATACCTGTTCCCCTAAATCCTCTCCCTACCATGCTGTACTGAGGTCTCCGCTGAGTGAATGCATGGATGGGTGGATAGCGGCTTTCTGGCACCCTGATGGTGCATCTTCAATGTCTGGCTGCAGCAGGAGGCCTCAGGCCCTGCTGTTTCCCATCTGCTGGGACCCCCCGGGAGAGTCCTAGCATCCCGGGGGTTCTGTTGCCATTACTCCAACACACCCTGCTATTTCCAGCACCCACACCCACACACACACACACGCACACACACACACACACACACACACCCCTTTGCTTCTGCATTGCCTTTCACCTAACCCGCCCTCTGCTGATGCCCCTGACAGCTGAACTCTCCCCAGGCCTTCCGAGTCCAACTCATGCCACCTGCTTCGGATTCCCCCTTGACTCGACTGGAAGAAGCTGTTCTCTCTCTGAGCGCTCCAGCCTTCTGGCTACAGCTCTGCGTGGCGTGAACATGTCTCCTCTGGACTGTCAGCAACTTCAGCACAGAAGGTTAGTATTCCTTTTGCACAGGCAAGAGCTCCAGACACCCTGGACTGAAGGCTGGTGGAGGATGGGCTCGAAGAGGTAGGTCACAGGCGGGGGCACCAGTCCGCCTCCCTGGGCAGCCTCAGGGAGAGAGCTTACGCCCAGGTTCTAGTCTGAACTACGCATTTTTGGAGCTGGGACTTTAGGCAAATTCCTTTACCACGCTGGGCCTCAGTGTACATGTCTATAAAATGGATATAATAGTTGTAACCTCTCAGTAACACAGAGGCTTTGTGTGAAATAAACGGCTAATCTTCCAAGCGCTTGGCACAATGCCTCACCCATGAAACACACTCAATAAATGTCAGCCATGATTATTGTCACAGGGCTGAGCCGGGTCTGGGACTTTCCCTGCCTTCTTGGAGGGCCAGGGGCATGGGGCTAATCTCAGAGACTCATTATAGAGAGCAGAGATGCAACCGGAATTCAGCGCAGGGGCCTCTGCTCACATCCACCCCTTCCTCGCTAACTTCCTTCCACAAGCATTTTTGAGCACCTGTTATGTTTCAGGCCCCGGAGATTGCTCGCGGAACGAGACAAAGTCCCTGCTTTCATGGAGCCTGCTCTCTAGTATGGGAAGGCAGAGGACACGTAGAGAGCAGACATATATAACTTCAGACAGTGAAAGCCCTATTGATTAAATAACAGTTAGGTCATTGAGTGGAGGCAAGTCAGAGCAGGCTTCTCGGAGGCGGTGGGGTTAAGATGAAATTTAAGGAGGCATCTGGAAGAGCATTCCAGGCCAGGGATGAACAATCTAGAAAACAGAAAGAATGCAGGAGGTTTGAGGGAGGGCAGAGAATGATCTGGAGCAGAGTGAACCAGGGATAGGATACAGGAGTCTGAGAGAGTGGAAGGGACAGAGCCCTAGGGATTCATGGCTACTCTGAAAGGTTTGGGTTTTGTGCCAAGTCTGAGGGAAAGCCAATGCAGGGTTTTAAGCAGGGCAGGGACAGGAGCATATGTTTTAAAAAGATCCTCCTGGCTTCTGGGTGTCTGGGGACGGGTAGGAGCCCGCTGAGAGATGACAGGGTGGGGACGGTGGAGGAGGCGGGAGTGATTCCTTTCAGAGCGTTTTGGGCATGTACCGTCTATGCTCTCTCTCCTCTGGGGATAGCGAATGAACAGGGCCTGCTGGTGCATGTGGAGGTGAAGGAAGAGGAGAGTCAAGCACGACTCTGGGCTTCTGATTGGCAAAACCAGGTAGATAAGGAAGCGTTTCTTGAGTGAGACAATGGACCGAGCTGGCTGGCGAAGGTGGGCAGTCGGGGTTTGGGTTTGCATGTGGGTGAGTGCATGCTGCTTACAGCGAAAACATTCCAGTGGGAGGTGTCCAGTGTTTGGTGGAAAATACAAATGTGGAGGTTAGGCGGGGGTTACAGACTGGGGGCGTGTCAGCCTAGAGATGCTTTTATATCTTTTCAACGGTATGAGACAGAGAGGGAGAAAGCACGCCCCCCATGGGTATGGTCACACTGCAATCCCTTCTTTTCCATTTCTACATCCCACTGGGATTCGGGGTACACTTGCACATACCCAGAATGTTTACCAAGCCACTGGGGCTAGGGTTTAAACCAGTATTGACCACGTGGGACCCAGCTCCCTTAACCACTAGGCCGCAGGGCCAGCCCAAAACACTAAAAAAAGTTTCTTTCTTTCTTCCACAGCATAGGGAGATAGACAAAAATAGAAAGAGAAAGAGAGAGAGAGAGAGAGAGACCCACAAAGGGA